AAGTTACCTCATACGAATAAATAATAGCTGGAAAACAGACTGGCTTGCTGAAAAACAAGCCTGCCATAGAGCTGCTGTTGGTTTTGCTGTGTGAGCAGAGTCCTCTAGTGGAGGCACGCCGTAGTCCAGCAGAGATCGCTGGCAAAGCTGCAAAAATGATACCTTAAGCCAACAGAGGCACTTTTCTGTTGGCATAACCGTGTCTCTGCCAGGCTTTTGCCAACAGCTACGTCAGCTAAAGGTTGTGACTGTTCCACACTCCTTGCCAAGGCTCTTGTGCCAGCAGACCTTTTAGTACAGACCAAATTCTACTCTTGCTAAATAATTTAAATCCTGCGTTTGTGTGAGGGTCTGCGTGTGTACTAGTTCAGGTATTCTTTACTCCTTCACTAGTACATTGGAGTGCTGTCCTGTGACTGCCTTGCTTCCTGACGTGTGGTGCCTGAATATCATGGGTTGCTGTTTTTCTGTTGCAGAACTGTGATGAGAGGTTTCAGTACAAGTACCAGCTGCGTTCCCACATGAGCATCCACATTGGGCACAAACAGTTCATGTGCCAGTGGTGTGGCAAAGACTTCAACATGAAACAGTACTTTGATGAGCACATGAAAACACACACTGGTAAGGCCTTATCAAAGAAAAGCACGAGTACCTCTGGGACAAAAACTTTCCTATGCTTCCAGCTGTATTCCCTTTCTTGGAATTTGGGATCAAAACTGTTACCCAACCTAGAAATCAGACAGGAAAGGTTAATATATTAACTTGCTTTTAAATCTGTCTGTAGTCCTGTGATTCACTGTGGGGGAAAATGAGAGGTTAGGCTTACTTCCTTGTTATTTTGGTCTGAAGGAACCCCTTGCCAAAGCGTTTTAAAAGATTGTCTCGTGCATCAAAATCCAAAGGTGAGAGAGGATTTCATAAAGACTGAGGACTTCTGTGGAACAGCTGTCTCTCTGTTTGCTGAAGGTAGCAGTCACAGTAGCTTTTGTAGGACACAGTTTGTTTGCGTAAGTATGCTGAAGTAAGTATTAGCAGATGTTCTGTGCCGAACTGATTGCGGTATCTGCATTCGGCAGGAGAGAAGCCCTTTATCTGTGAAATCTGTGGGAAGAGCTTCACCAGCCGCCCAAACATGAAGAGACATCGCAGAACTCACACAGGGGAGAAGCCCTACCCATGTGATGTGTGTGGCCAGCGATTTCGCTTCTCCAACATGCTCAAGGCACACAAGGAGAAGTGCTTCCGTGTTACCAGCCCCGTCAATGTGTCAACTGCTGTCCAGATCCCACTGTCCACGACTTCTGCCACCACAGTCCCTGCTGTAGTGAACGCACCCACCACCCCAACTCCACCTATCAACCTGAACCCAGTGAGCACACTTCCTCCACGCCCTATTCCCCACCCGTATTCACACCTTCACCTACATGCTCATCCTCACCATCCACATCACCTCCCGGTCCCCCCGGTTCCTCATTTACCCCCTCCTCCAGCTCTTTTTAAGAGTGAGCCTTTAAATCACAGAGGCCAGAGTGAGGACAACTTTCTGCGACACCTGGCAGAAAAAAACAGTTCAGCACAGCACCACTAACATCTTTGCTTCCTGCCAGCTATTTTCCCATTTTATGCACATGGAAACATGCCCTCCTGGAAGTACAGAGGGTTAGTTGGCGAGGATCTGTGTCTTTCTCTTAGCCCCAGCAGATGGTCCTAATTTTTCCTTTGAATCAGTTAACAAACAAGGAAATCCTCTTTTGGATCAGCAGTGCTCATTTGAACCTGGGAACCAACAGGACTTGAACCCAATTTGCTTGCGTTTTACTGGTGACTTTTCTAAATTTCAGATACTGAGACTTGTGGAATTTTATAATTTCATATCAGCTGATGAGGTATGCTTGCTTTTATATCCTGGACTTCTCCTCAAAGAGGAGATAGGCCTGGTTTTCTTTGTACTAATCGGAAAGGCTGTGAGATTAATACAGAGCATTAATTGTATCACTGTGTATCGTAATGGATTCTTTTCAGCTTTTGGTGCCGGCTATGGAGTGAGCCAGCCACGTATCACAGTATATTTGAGCATTATAAAGAAAGACAAAAAAATTTCTTGTTTGTGTAGCTCTCCTAACACACTCTTTATTTTACTACAGAAATTATTTTAGAGTTTTTTGTATAGACCTATTTAGTAGTCTGTTTCTAAAATGAAATGTATTTCAATAAGCGGTGTAATTTTTTCAGTGTAGCTGGACCTATGTTGTATAATAGATAAATTTTTATAATCATCAAAATGTGATTCTTAAAAGATGCATATAGCTTCTATAGTTAAAGTTATTCTTACAACCATACAACTTAAAAGGTGCTTCAGAGAAGAAAGGAACCCAAGAGGTCTCTGGAAAGGTTGCCTCAAAAGCGATGTTGATTTCAGAACTTTACGTAATTTATTTTAGTAGGGTTTTTTTGGTTGTCCTTTTTTTTTTTTTTTTTTTAACCTTACGTTTCCCTTTTCACAGTTTCTCTTAAGCTTTTTGGACAAGGACGTTGGGATACCGTATTCCTGCTCCACAGGTTTTCTTTAGTTCAGTTGGAGTGAGGTATGAGATGGGTTAGAAGGGGAGCCCCTTACACGCAGGGACCCGCGAGTTTGGGAACAGAGGGTCACAAGAGAATGAGAGATCTGACAGCAGAGAGGGAATCAAGTATCTCAAGTCAGCCAAGCATCTTTTCTCTTTACACAGGAGAGCCGGTTTCAATGGCTTTTCATGGTATGATTTAAGCTGGGGATCATATCAAATGCTGCTCTTCAGGTTGCTTTTTGGAATTCTGGGAGTTGTTAGGAGAGGGGAATTAAGTGAGATCATAAATGTGGTGTTTCTGACTGGTTGATTGTAAGAGTGAGAAGAGAAGTTTGAATGAGACAATGGTGTTTCAGTTGCATTGTTAAGAAAATGCTGATAGCACTGTATGTACCGTGTGAAGCTCTACCCCATAAATGTAATGTGCATAAAATTATGGGATGATTTCTAGGGGTCGTAGTCATACTTTTGGCAAATCTAAGTTTTACAGTTGTAGGATAGGAAACTTTGAATTGTAGGCATGTCACTGTTTCATAATCCTGGGAGGCAGTGAGGGGGAAATGACAAGTTAGTGCAGGGATGGTGGGCTGGAATGCCAAATGTATCTGTTTTAACCAGTGAGTAGCTGTTATTTTTTCAGGTTTGTATTTCTCTTCAACTAAAACTAAATATAGCAGCATTATGCAATCTAGGAACTTGTTGCCACCTTCACTGAGGACAGAGGCCCAAGACAATGTACTGTAAGTCCTCTTTTCCTTAAAATTCCTACTCTTCTGTGCTGCTTTTTAAATTAAATCCCGCCAAACTATACATCCAGAGATCCTCGTAGGCAGATGTCGAACTTACTATTCTGCTTGGTAATGAACTGGGGTTTTGTGGCTAATGGGATTAATTTTTTTTCAAGATAGCAGAAATGGTGGAAATTCTTCCTAGCATTACTTCCTCAAGGTTAATGCTGTTAAGCACTGTGTTTTGAAACACCATGTCCTGTGTCTGTTGAGAACTAGCTCCTTAGTTGATGTTTTTCACCATTTTCTACCACCTAATCATTAATGTTGGGGTTTTTTTCTTAACAAGCATAGGAAACTTTAGGAACCAGAAAGGGCAGTTTTGGCCCAACAAACCTACTCATTTTTGACTGAGCTGAAACCCCTTCCAGCATTTCTGAAAAATAAAACAATGTTTTTTCAATGCTTTCTCTATAATATTTATATACACCCTCTTACCTTCTAGAAGAAAAAGCCAGTTATGAAAGTGAATTTACACTCATGATTATGACTGTTGTATTTACTGTGGCTGGTCCGCCCCAGAGGTTCTATGCATTCCATGTCACATTTGCAACCTACATTTCTGTTGTGCCACTATTTTATGGTCAGGCCTGTTATTAAATGATTTTTAAATGCTAAAAAATTCTTGGTAAATCAATTGTATTCCAGTTTTGCAAAATGATTTTCTTCTCAATAAATTTACAGTATTAGGCTGCTATTCAGAATTCTAAAATCTGGGACAGTTTTTTTCTATTATTTAGTTCATAGCAATGATACGCTTTGTATTTTTTCCTTCCGAGACTTATGAACTTACTTTCTGTGGAAGATGATTAAACTATCTAACCCGCTTAACAGTCTGCCATAATGTGACATGATGTCAACAGATTCTCCTCATTATCTGGGACAAACGTATCGAAAGCTGACATATTGGTCTAAAAGGGTTGCAATGTGATACCTTATAAAGGGCATATTTCAGCAAGAAAAGGAAAATGGGCATGACAAAAGGCAGGAGGTTCAAGGTTGAGATTTGCTGTGGCTTCTCACTTCTGCTTAAATTTGCATCGGCATGCACACCTACAGAGGTTGTGCAACCCTGAGGAATGTATTCAAGTGTGTTCACTACGTTCTGCTTATGTTGACAAACTAAGCATAATGTTTGGTATCAGCTTTACTGTATTTAGTAAGTTTGGGGTTGGTTTGTGTTGCTAAAAGGCTTCCTTCAAGAAGAGCAAAGGCAAATTATACCAGCTTTGGGTTTGGTTTGAATGTTTCTGTAAAGTGGAACTAAGGTCTGAACATCCTACAGCCTAAGGCAAAGTTTTACTGAATTTTTAACATTACATTTTTAAGGGGGGAAATTCAAGAGAATTAACACGCGATCGGGAGGTCAGCATTCTAAGATGAGCGGTTTAAAGGACAGCATCTTTTCTGGAGAAGTTTAAACTGCTAGTCCACCGGACAGTGCCTTATCCATACTAAAGGCATTAGCTGTGTCAACTTGTTTGTTCAGTGTATTATCTCAGACTAACTTATCTTTCTGGATAAAGGTGTGGTGATTTGTTTTGTATTGTCATGCCTGTCTGCATTATTGACTCTCCTATTTACAAAGCTCAGATACTTCTTGGATGGCCTAATTTGTATTGCTGCGCACATCAAAAGTTACTGTCGCCCATCTGGTATTCCCTACCAAATCTTAATTTATGGACTTCTGAAAGAGTCCTTTAAGCTGAATTTAGGCTTTTATCACTGGGAAATTAGTTCGTATCTCAACGATGCAGTCCACCTGGATGTTTTTGTCTTTGCCCTGTTCTGTCTCTTGAGCATGTAATAGCTCGTTTCAATTTATGGAAGAGAGGAGGAGGTAGAGCTCAGGGTACGCAAAAAGACGGTGCTTCCCTTTGCCACTTTTAGTCAGTTTTAGCCAAGTAAGTGACAGACCAAGTTTACCTCTGAGCTGAAAAGATTAGTATTTTTGTAATATATTTAATTTGTGGCCTATTTCTTTGCATTATAATGACCAATGGTGTGACTGTCAGTGGGGTCGAGTACCATTTTTTAGGAGTTTGAGAGAGACACTTGCGCAGGGCTGTTTCTGTTCATGCAAAGACAGTGTTGTGTTGTGTTGACGCTTTTTGGTTTGATTATTACTTGCGGAGTATGTAGGTAATGTGCCTTTGAGAATATGATAAAACAATATGCAACTTGCAGTGAGGCACTCAAGAACACTAATGTCAAACTTTTCACTCTTGGGACTTGAGCTCAGGGTCGTAAAATGTTTCCATGATGATTTTATGGTTTCGTATTTCTATTGACTAACAGTATTTAAAAAAACAAACAAACACAATGTATAGCTCAACAAGACTTTTTTTACCCGCTAGTAAGGAACATTTCACTTGTAAATAGAATATGGATCAAGTTTCTGGTTTTAGTGTTGGTTTTGGTCTTTAAACCTGGGAGACATGGCTACCTGAGAGATGATGGAGGTGAATTAAATAAACGCTTGCCCATTTTCATGACAAAGTGAACTGGCAGTTTTTCCAACTATTATGTACCTACGATTAAGATATCGTAGAATCATAGGATATCTCAAGTTGGAAGGGACCCTTAAGGATCATCGAGTCCAACTCCCTGCTCCTCACAGGACTACCCTAAACCATATCTCCGTGCTACCTAAAACTAAACCATATGACTACGAGCGTCGTCCAGATGCTCCTTGAACTCTGACAGCCCTGGGGCTGTGACCACTTCCCTGGGGAGCCCGTTCCAGTGACCAACCGCCCTCTCAGTGAAGACTTCTCCTAATGTCCAATGTGAGTGATTCTTAATGGAAAACATGACTTTATTCTTACATCTTACCTGCTTCTGAACTTTGAGCTATACTGGTTTTCAGGAGTGACTATAAAAGCTCTTCAGATCTCTGTCCTTACAGTCTGATGATGTTATTTTTCAATGGGCATATTTTTTTTGTGGGGTTGTTCGGTTTGGGTTGTTTTTTTTTTTTTGGTTGGCATAATATGTAGCGCTGAGCATAAGACTTCTGTAGAGTTCGAGCTTGGATGTGATCTTCTGCATCCTGGTTAAAAAAGCATAGAATGGAGGTATGTGTTCTTGTTAGAACCAATAGCCACATGTCTTTGAAGGGTGATTATTTTTATGTTAAAGACAGTGAGACTGGCAGTACATATTCTACTGACTAACGATAGATAACCTTATCATGCACTACTTTAACAATTTGGAATTGCCATTTGACTTTTCAGAAATGAACATCATTAGCTACAACCTCATCAGCTGGGAACTGATAAATACCATACCTCTCTAGTCTATATAGTAAATCTTCAAGTATTTCAAAAGTAGAAGAAAGGTACATTGAAAATTAATGACTATGAGATAGTTTCACTCTTTCACAGTTTAAATTTGAAAGCAGAAGTGTCACTGTGCAAGTTTTGACACAGGCATTAAGATTTAAAGTCGTTCATAGCACATCACTTGCCAGCCTCCATCAAATGAATTTGCCTTGTGCCATAACAGTTATTTACTCGTTTCTTGAAAACATTTTGGTACTATTTCACCATTTGTTTTCTTTTGTAGAATGCTCTTTCCTGTGAATTCACAGGGAGTGTTCTCTTCAAAGGGTGCAGGTGGGGAAGAAGGAATACTCATTTTCCCAGGGCTCGCGTGCATGTGAATGAAACTTGGTAATTTTTTGTGGAGATTTAAGGGTGTTCAAAACTGGAATTAAATTCAAATTAGTAACTTTCACTGTTTTAGCAGACAGAAGAAGGCAATTTTTGAAGTAATCTGGCACTAGTAAGTGGTATTGTCGTGCTGGCTTTGAAAGGTATAGATTAATTAATTCTTATATTTTTATTTTAGCACATTGATCATGCTAAAAATAAATTGCATAATGTATTGTCCATATATTGGAGATGTGGCAGAAGAATTAAAATCCACCCTTAAAGAGAGAAAAGTTCAAAAGAAAGGCAAGCATTTGCATTTCCTATAGACACTAGGAAAAAAGTCTACCTTAGGGTTCACAGATGTCCTTAATAAAGATTTTTATCCTGGCAGTAGTAAGATAATTTTGCAGGTTTTAAGCTTTTAATAA